TTTTAGGTTAGAACATGTGATTGATCGAAGCACGGCCATATATCCGGAAGAGGTTTGTTAAAAGAGGTAAAATCTTTTTTCATATTAAATTTCTGTTCACAGATCATGACAATGAGAAGTTCAATTATTGATCAAGTTTGGATTTTATTATATTTTGAACTTAATATAAAATAGAGTTGTGTTATTTTGTTACATTATACGTACACATATGTACACATATGTATAGTTACATATGACTACATTCTGTTATTATAGCGTCACATATGTATTATATATATATTGAACATTGCATTTTCATTTTGAGTCAATTTACACGATTATTGCGAGTGACTTCATACATTTAATTACAAGAAATTCATTATAATTAAATAGTCATTAAATAGTCAAATAAATAGTCATTCTAACTTATTCTTAATTTTATTCATTCAATTAGAATGTCCATTTCGCAGAAACTAAAAAGAATCCTACCAGCAAATATATCTATTTGATTTACTAGAAATAAAAATACCTAGAGGATATACTATAATTTTAGCTTGACACTCAAAATGATGAATGTAGATGGTATTTCGCAATAATCGTGTTTGAACTTTGATATATAGAAATTATAAATGTAGTTCAATAACAGATGTTTTGTGCCTCAATAGTTCTTGTTATAAATTGAGCCACGTGTTTTCATTCACCATTGGCTCCATTACAAGGATCCGAAAGTCGTATCATTCCTTCCTATACATGTGTTTCAAATTATACAACTCTTTTACGACCACTTATCTCCGAAGGTATAATTAGCCCGCACAATGTCACGGAACACCTCACACATTTTGTACGGAAATAATTTCCAGGAAGTCCTCTACAATTTTAAACTTTTTCGGCGCGAATTACGAATTCATTCAAACAGGAAATCATAGAGTAAACACGTGTGAAATCTTATGCACGTGTTACTGGAAAGAACGAGTGCATTAAAAAGTTGTGAAGTCGAAGGACAGAAAGGGACGCGTTGGCCGTTCTACAAACGGAAGTGTGCCGGGTGATTGATGGCCGACCGATTGTCAGCAAAAGCGAACCTCGCGCAGCCTCGACGATAATTCACGACGCGTCTACGTCTCTTTCCATTTCATGGCTGCTATCTTTCGACTCGACACGCGCCAGCCCTGGTAAAAATAGGGAACGACGGAGATTAGGTGGTCCCAGGGTCGTCAGACATCGACGGCATCGGGTAACAACAAGCAACCAGAAACGAGAAAAGTACCTTTGAATGTTCCTCATCTTCCGCCATGACTTTTCCTTCGTTACTTTGTAGGAGAAATTATTGGTTTGATATTTTTTTTGTTGTAATTTAATTCGGAAATAATAATTGTGGTAATGTGCCACTGGAATGGGAGATGAAGAGTACTTTTAGATGTTGTTTGCTAAGTTTAGTTCGCTATTCATTAAGTTTAAGCCACTAAGTTTTTTCGTACATCTTTAGGTTGCTTTGTAGGAATGATTGTTGCAACATTGTTTTTGTAATTGAAATGTATGGTAGGACTCTTTTGTAGGACTGTGACATAGTTGTGAACTGAATTATGATACATAGTAATTGATATATGAAAAAGTATAGTAACAGATAAATCAATATATCAGCGGTATGCAGAGTATATTATATTTGTGTAGGTCGAGAGAGAGTTATTGAAGAAAGTAATTCTTGGTAATGTTAGTGGAGCCATATAATGATTTTGTTTAGAAGGTTTCAAATTTTAGAATTTCATGGAATTAATGTTATGAGATTAAAGAATTTGAAATATTCAATAAATATGATATCGCAAACTTCATTTGTACAATGAAATTTGTATAATTTAGGAATTCTGAAGTTTCAAAATCCTCAAATTTTCATATTTAAAATTTCCAAATATTCAAAATCGTCAAATTTCAAAATTCTCTAATTATCAAATCCAAAATTCACATGATCCAAATTCCCCAAATCCTCAAATCTCAAAATCTCCACATTTCCGGACTACAAAATCCCTAAATCCTCCAGAGCATCAGATCTGAAATGGCCACGTTCAAAAATCTCTAAACCTCTAAATATCCAAATCCTCATATTTCCAAATTCTCACATTACAAAATCCCTAAATTACCGAATTTCCCAAATTCCTAAATCTCCAATTCTCAAATCCTCAAATGTCTAAATTACCAAATTTTCAAATTCCCAAATTTCTAAATTAGCTAATTCTCAAACTCTAATTTCCTAAATATCCAAATTTGCAAATTCCAAAATTTCTAAATTACCAAATTTTTAAATTCCCAATTTTCAATTCTTCAAATTTGGAAATTCCGAAATTTCTAAATTACCAAAATTCTCAAACTCCAAATTTCACTTCTCCAAATTTTCAAATTCCCAAATTTCTAAATTACCTAATTCTCAAACCCCAAATTCCTAAATCTCCGAATTCACAAATTCCCAAATTCCTAAATTTCCAAATTCTCAAATTCCCAAATGTCTAAATTACCAAATACTCAAATCCCCAAATTTCAAATCTCCAAATCTTCAAAACCCCAAATTTCTATATTACCAAATTCTCAACCGCCAAATTTCTAAATCTCCAAGTCTCCAAAACCCCAAATCTCCAAATCTCCAAACTCCCCAAACCCCAAATCCCCCAACTCCCTAAACCCCAAATCCCCCAAACCCCAAAATCCAAAAACTCAAAAACCCCAAACTCTCAAAATCCCAACCCCCAAAAATATTACTCCCCGAACCCCACGTTCCAAAAACCCCGAAAACCACGAATCAAGTACCACTATCCCAAAAATTCCACTACCCCAATACCCCAACCTCCAAAAATCGCCATATTTACCAGTTCCCCACAAAGTACCGTAATAAACTGTTATCAGAACTGCATCGAACCGTTCGCGGTTAACACATTGTCAGTCGTGTACACAGACGAGGGCAGAATTATGGGCAGACCTGGGGGAAATCCTTGAAGAAGTCAAACAGTTGAAACCGTTGAATTCGGAGCGAGCCGTTTTGTTGGTACCGTGAATTGTACGTGAACGCGAGCTTTCCCGGGGAATGCAGCGTGTATACCGGATGAGGGAAGGAAAATCCAGGCCTGAATAATTCGCACCTGTCGCCAACCGGAGAGAAATGGAACGCGCGAACTGTACGACGTGATTCACGGTTGAAAGTAAATACGTAATTCTTGAATTCGGCTCCGCCGATGATTTGTTTGACGTTGCAAAATAAAGGCGCGTACGAAGGATTAAAATGTATAAATTCATTGAAAATCCGGGCAGTTTGTATTTTGCAACGTTCCAAAAACGGGGTCCGAGTACCCGGAATGTGTGTATGAACTCGCGGATCGATAGGTTAAATAATCTGCGATAATAAACGAGGCCTCTGCTCGATGGTCGATTCAATATTTGCCTCCAAGAGTTGAATCAGATGCTGTGTGCACGCGGAGAAACGCTCGGGAACAAGTTCGAACGGCGATTAAGATCATCAGAGAATTTGATCTCCTTCCATTAACGAGCAACTTCCACCGACTCCTTGATTTGTAAGGTTACAGCAAACGTCGGCCTTAAAAGGGATCCGGTAGGTCATGGTTACGGGTCTATTTCGATCGACGTATAATCGGAAACTGACCTCTTTAAATATCGAAAGGGAGACTATCAATGAAATGTTTATTAAGCTTTTGTGATTTATCGATTTTTAGAAAATTAATTCTGAGAAAATGGACTTTCAGAAATAAACATTTTAACAACGATAACATTATGAAGTCACGCGTATGGTGTAGCAAATTAACCCATTCATTTACAACCACATACTCGAGTTTCATTTTATAACTAAGAGTATGTAAATAATTATGAGTATACTTGTGTTTAATTTTGTATATATTATTTGTGACAAAATACTTTTAAAGAAATAAAGGAACTTAATTAAACAAAAACACTCGAAAGATATCAATATCAGTGAAATCACATAATTTATGGTTGACTGTAACTGAAAGTACAGAGTTTGATGAAAGTAGCATCAAATGCTCATATTGTGGACACATAATGATCTACCTCAGTCTAACGCAACTTCATGGCGTATATATTGCAAAATGGCGCGTACAGTAAAGGTCAGAGATTAACGGAAATGGAAACATAAGGGATTTATGTGTGTTATTAATACAAATTGGTGTTTACCTAAAATAATGACCATTTTGACAAATTGCTGAACCAATTTGCTGTTTTTAGTGGAGGAAGAAATGTCGAAGCATTATCATGATATAAATGTGTCCAGATGGCGCTTATGGCTAATCAGTTTGAAGGTTAGGATTGCATTAATATGAGCATATAAATGTTAGAATTTTTAACATAGAATGGTAGATTCTTTATTGGAGTACACAGTGATTTAAAGAATCATAAATTTTATTTGCGAGGATATTTCTAGGTTAAGTTCGAGACATAAAAGTGTCACAAAATGGCACTCATGATACACCAACTTGTAGGTTAATATTCATAGAAAATAGCTATGGAAAGATTTTATGAGTATTCTCAATATAAAATGATTGGTAATTAATTTCAACAAAAAGTAATTTTATTAACTTTCAATTTTAAATATGTATGAAGACTAATATAATTTGATGACATAAAAGTGTCACAAAATGGCACTTATGATACACTAATTTATAGCTTAAGGTTCAAAGAAAATTGCTATGGAAGGATTTTATAAATATTCTCAATACAAAATTATTGGTATTTAATTTTAACAAAAAATAATTTTATAAACTTCTAATTTTAGAAACATGTGAAGACTGATATTATTTGATGACATAAAAGTATTACAAAATGGCACTTATGATACACCAATTTGTAGCTTAAGGTTCATAGAACATACCTATGAAAGAATTTTGTAAATATTCTCAATACAAAATGGCGTGTTACATTAAATTGTATCTTGAAGTTTAACAAAAATTGTAATAAACAAGTACAGTGCATAACAAGTTAATAATTAAATACAGTAACGTGTCAGCAAATACAGTAAACAATAAGCGAATGTCAATAAAATATAATAAAGAATGATTAAATATCGCAATGAAAATTGAAAAGTACAAAAGCATGTCCATACGTAAATTATTAAAATTGAAATGTTTGCCATTGGAGAATTTCATTGAGAACACTGTACAGAGCACACGTTCAATTACAAAGATTACGTTCGAATACCAGATTGTTGCAGAACAAGAAACAGAAAGTCTATCTATACACATGACGCAATTGTAACTCTGGCTGACTAATCCATAACATTTCTACTGTCTGTGTTGCCGTTCGTCACTCTTATTTCAAACCGAATCGTTTAACCGTGTTCCCGCGATCGTGTCATTTCTCAGATAAATAGAACATCTCGACTGGTATTCTTCTCCATCGTGCCGGGATCAATGGAGTTTTACATAATACCCTTGGCAGAAGATGGACGCGCTAAAAATAAAAGAACGTTATTTAGAAGGAGTATCGATGAATCGGCGGAATTCAGATTTCACTTGTTCCAAAAATAATCCATTATATAAATTACGTTCGAAAGCTGTTCCATCCGTTCGAGATAAATGTTGACTCGATTTATCGGAGATACGAGAGTGGCAGTTTCAGATGAAATTCGTCTCCGCGAATATTTCCCTGCGTTAAAATTTCGATAAAATTAATTGAATTAATTAATAACTCGATTGAAAAAGTCACCGATCGGGTATTAAGGATTGATGCTTTAGTTTGAAAGCATGTTCATTGAGAGAATGAGTGGTTGAAAAACAAATGGTTTGACAAATTTAATAATTTATGGGATATGGAAAGAGATGAATATTGTTAATTAAATATTATTGTTAAATAGTAAATCTTATTAATAAATATTAGTTATGAGATATTTGTGAAGGGGTGTGGAAGAATCTGTTGGGTCTCCGATATGGTAATATGGAGGATTTTTTATTTATGGCTGCCTTGTACATTTTTTAAATCTGGAAAATTTTGCGAATCTTGGAAATTTGAGACATTTTGGGAATTTTTTAATTCTAAGGAATTTGGTGAATTTGGGAAATCTAGAGAGTTTCGGGAACCTAGGAAATCTTGCAAATCTAGGGAATTAGGGGGATTGGGGAAAATTTAGAGAATCTTGGGAATCTGGGAAATCTTGCAAGTCTAGGGAATTTGAGGGATTGGGGAAATTTAGAGAATCTTGGGAATCTGGGAAATCTTGCAAGTCTAGGAAATTTGAGGGATTGGGGAAGTTTAGAGAATCTTGGGAATCTGGGAAATCTTGCAAGTCTAGGGAATTTGGATAAATTTAGAGAATCTTGGGAATCTGGGAAATATTGCAAGTGTGGGAAATTAGGGGGATTGAAGAAATTTAGAGAATGTTGAGAATCTGGGAAATCTTGCAAATCTAGGGAATTTGGAGGATTTCGGATATCTAGGGAATTTTGGAAATCGGGAAAGTGAAATCTGTAAATTTTCAAATACTATTAAATACTACTAAAAATACTACTAAAAAACTACTAAAAAACTACTAAAAAAACTACTAAAAAAACTACTAAAAAAACTATTAAAAATGCTACAATACCAACACCATTACATATTCAAGAACCCTAAAATATCACCAATAACCAAATATTACCAATAAACACATTCTACCAAAAATGATCCCCAAAAACGATCTCCATCAAAGATTCAATAAACGACAAGAAACGCCTAGAAAATTTCCGTAAAACATTTTCAAAATTACCATATGCCATATATTGCCACGTAAATAGCCATTCTAAGGAATCATCGATCATCCTAGGTTTGCTTAGCGCGTCTCCTTTCCATCCCTCTTTAAAACCTCTTTTTTCTCTCGTCGGTCCCTTCAAACATTTTCCAGCCCTTTGTACGGGCATTTTGCCGCCGGTGTTTCCTTAATAACGTAACCCGACACACACACGCAGACACACAGACACAGCAGAACGGCTTTTAAGCACCACGTAATCACGCAGTCGTTTCGCTAACGTTCCCGTACGTGACACGAGCTTCATGGGGATACAAGGGTGAGAGAGGGGTTGGTTAAGTTAAAGCCTTCATGGTCGACGAGGAAAAGGGGTTGCAAGATTAGAGGTGAAGATTCAGTTTCGAATTGGAAGGCGTTTGTTCTGTGACAAGGGTAGCGTGAAAGTTTATTATGTGATAGACTGAGTTTGCGAATCGAGGGGTTAATAGGCGACGGGCTAATACGAATTGTCTAATTGTCGATTGTTCGTGTAAATTGTTATTCGTCGCTTAACGAGGCGGTCAAATTACTGTTTTACTAGTATACTAGTTTTACTATTTTCCAAAATTTATTGAAATCTGTGTTAAAGAATTAGAATCATGAAAATTTCATTTTTATGGCTTCCATGCCAAATCGATCACTTTTGACGTCACCATCTTTGATTTTGCTCTAATCAAAATCTGTTCTAGTCCATGTGAAATTAGGGAGGGTTTAAGTCATCATTTTGCCGGTTTCAAATTTGTTAAGAAATAACAAGCCTTCAAAATTTGCAATTTTTACCCATTTTTGCGAAAATAGGCTTCACTTACGAATTTTTTTCTCAGAAACTACTCGACCGATTTAGCTAAATTCTTTTTTGTTTTACTCACAAAGGATTGGACTATTTTAAAATATTTTTTTAATTCCATCAATTTGTTATATTATGATCGGTTAGCTCAGTCATTATGATCGGTTGTTTCGTGCCACTGGACCCAAAGCTGCGCGCGCACCGATCATAACAAGTGCGCGCGCAACTAGCCTACCTAAAATGGAGGTACCCCGCGTAAATTAAAAAGAATAACAGATATTTTAGAAAATAATGAAGATATAAAGCATATGATGTACACAGATCATGTCGGATACAAGCACCAAAGGGTATAAATACAAAATGAACACATATTAATGTTATACAGTAGTACCATATACTATTAAATTACTAATACTAACTAATAAATTATATAATTACAACTACAGGTTTTTTTATTTTACAGAAACGCTGAAAATTTACAGTAACTAATTCGATGACCAATGAAATTGAAAAATGTTCGACCACATTTATACTTATCCAAAGGAAATCGTCGCAGCAAAGTGTACAACCGTATAACCGCACAATTTGCCAAGAAGCTAGTGTGTTAAACTACAAATCAGGGCCGACGTATTCTCCCTGTGGCAATTTACTCTTCTCCCTCCACTTAAAGGAATTATAAATCGTAGCTCGTTCAGCGACACTGCACTCTAGGTACAAGTTTTAACCGTAGCTCGACACGTGTGTGTAAATCTGGAGTAGCCTCGTGTATTTTCATTCGGTGTATCAACAACTCTGTTGTCATATACAATTGGATCCCTGAACGTGGACACTCTGATTATTGTTACTAGGTACTGTCTATTCTACCGTGTCTATTTCGTGCTGTTAAACTTTTGATTTACTGTGGTTGTCTTCGACTGGTGGCTTTCAAGGTTAGGATGGCTAAATCCTTTTATTACGAGTCGCAAAAATCTGCGGTAAGGTGTATTAAAATTATTGTGAAAATGGATGTTTAATTATCAAAATTGTAAATATTGCAAATTTATTTTAATATTTATTAATAATATTAATAATATTTATTTTAAAATTTATTTTAAGATTAATTGCAAATAAATTGTAAATTTTACTACACGTTACAAAATCACTAATCAAATTGCAATTATCATCACAGAAATTAAAACTAACAATAAATCTAACAACGCAAAAATTAATCTTCCAAAACAAAAACAGTACACCAAAATACCAAAATATCTCCAGGAAAATTCAAATCGTAAAATTGGAAATATAAATCGTAACCCGAACGCAATAACACAGGAAACTAGAAAACGTAAGAAATAAAAAACGAGAAAACGCGTTGCAGCATGTAACACAACGACGTCGATCATTTTCCGAAATTCTCGAGGAAATACAAGTCGACACGCATTGAAGATCGTTTCATGGAAAATACAACGTCGGCCCGTTGGATCGTAAATGTCCATGGCTGTGGAAGCGCAAGCTTCAAACAACTATACTGTAGTACAGTATAGAGGCGAGCACGTCATTCGTCGAAACGACGAAACGGTTCTACACCTGCTCGCTCTATAATTCCAAGACGTTCGTTTACATTCCAACGACCGTGCGAGAGCAATATTTTTACGAAGTCTAGAACATGCTAGCTGTAGCTGCCTGGCATCTAGCGGACCCTGCGTGTCCATAAATCTATTAATAAAGCGACAAGACTTCGTTAATTGAACGGGAAGGAAGATGCGTTCGGTCCGCGAAGAAACGACGCGGCTCCATTAGCTGTGAAACGCTGAAATAATGTTGTGCAGACATTGTGAATGATTCTGCTCGATTAACGAATACAAACCAAAATAGGCATCGACGGAATTTGTTTCAATATTGGGAGATGAACTGTGCAGTCTCGCTATATGGCATTATTTTTATATGGGAGAGGTTTTGAACTATTTCTTTTGATGATGGTTAGTTATTGTACTATGTAGAGTTTGGACATTTTCGTGGGTCAAATCGTCAGTTCTTTATTTAGATTTGAACAAATTTTTCATTTTTAGCATTTGAAGGTATTTTTAGTGAGATATCAATCTTAAAACTTTTCAGTCAAAAAATTAGCTGCATTTTTTTAAGACTACTATTTCTCTATTTTCCAAGTTCATACACCACCTGTATAATACTACAGATTTAGATAAAAAATATTTCTTTTAGATTTGACTTCAAATTTCTTGATTTACAGATTTTTAGATTTCTAAATTATAGATTCTAGATTATTAAATTTATAAATTGTAAATTGTAGATGTTTGGAATACTAAATTGTAGTCCTTAATTGTAGAACATAAAAGAAGTGTACCATCGAACATTTGCATCATAGAGGAGCGTATACCTGGTTTGAATTTCGCGCGCGAATTCATTTGGAGAACGAAACGTTCGAGCTCGCGAAACTTGAACGAGGTCAAGAAGAAGCAGCAACGCAGTCGGTATATGGCGTGTATCCTCGTGATAACTGCACGATAGAATGTTCTCTTAAATTTCCCAGGTGGATCCCGGTCGTACTTGCTTTCGGTGGCGTCTTTATACGCTTTCCAACGAATACCTGTGCGCCTTGTGCCGGCCCATTCAACCGTTCGCAAGAAGCCACGTCCTTCGAGAATAAGCGAATATCGAGGATGTCGCTGGAAAGTGGCTGCCTTCCACGGCTGGATTGTCATTTTTCACCTGTATAACTCGTGCCTGGATTTCGAGGGAAATACTCGCGAAAAACCTTGACAATGTGACACGTTCGAGAAGAAATTCTCGTTACCGTGAAACCATAACTTTCGTTTGCATTTCGTGACGTGCTGGAATTATTAACAACTTCTATACCACGGAAATTTTATACTGTTTTCTTGTAACTTAAATTGCTCGGGAATTTCTGATTGAACCTGATTTTCATATGTACACGAATTACCGAAGATTTGTTCTCTTACTTAATTATTTATAGTTTGTTATTTTTGAGGAAAGTTGTTTCTGTTAGAGAAATTTGAAATTTTATGCATTTTTTAATTTTTAATTTACTAGCTTGGGAAATTTTAGGTTTGTGAATTTTTATTCATTTTTAGGTTTTCAAAT